CCCAACCCACCAGTATCCCAGTATGGGGGGGGCCCAAAGCACTGGGATCCCAGTATGGGGGGAGGCCGTCCCCAGTATCCCAGTACAGGGGGTCACAACCCACCAGGATCCCAGTATGGGGGTCCCAAACCCCCAGTATCCCAGTATGGAGGGGTCCCAAAGCACTGGGATCCCAGTATCCCAGTACAGCGGGGTCCCCAGTATCCCAGTACAGGGGGGTCCCAAACCACAGGGATCCCAGGGTCCCAGTATCCCAGTACAGAGGGGTCCCAAAACACCAGTATCCCAGTATGGGGGGGTCTCAAAGCACTGGGATCCCAGTACGGGGGGGTCCCAAAGCACTGGGATCCCAGTATCCCAGTACAGGAGGGTTCCCAAAGCACTGGGATCCCAGTACAGGGGGTCACAACTCACCAGTATCCCAGTACGGGGGGTCCCAAAGCACTGGGATCCCAGTACAGGGGGTCCCAAGCCCCAGTATCCCAGTAGATGGGGGTACCAAAGCACTGGGATCCCAGTACGGGGGGGTCCCAAAGCACTGGGATCCCAGTATCCCAGTACAGGAGGGTTCCCAAAGCACTGGGATCCCAGTACAGGGGGTCACAACTCACCAGTATCCCAGTACGGGGGGTCCCAAAGCACTGGGATCCCAGTACAGGGGGTCACAACCCACCAGTATCCCAGTATGGAGGGTCCCAAAGCACTGGGATCCCAGTATCCCAGTAGATGGGGTCCCCAGTATCCCAGTAGATGGGGGTCCCAAGGCACTGGGATCCCAGTATCCCAGTACAGGGAGGTCCCCAGTATCTCAGTAGATGGGGGTCTCAAACCACTGGGATCCCAGTACAGGGGGGTCCCAAAGCACTGGGATCCCAGTATCCCAGTACAGGGAGGTCCCCAGTATCTCAGTAGATGGGGGTCTCAAACCACTGGGATCCCAGTACAGGGGGGTCCCAAAGCACTGGGATCCCAGTATCCCAGTAGATGGGGGTCCCAAGGCACTGGGATCCCAGTACAGGGGGTTCCCAAACCACCTGCTGCACGACTGTCGTGTCGCACGAGGGTCCTGGCTCACGACTGTCGTGGTGCACGGGCATCCCAAACCACCAGGATCCTGGTGCACGAGTGTCATATTGCACGAGGATCCCAGTGCACAAGTGTCGTGGTGCACAAGGATCCTGGTGCACAAGTGTCGTGGTGCACAAGGATCCTGGTGCACAAGTGTCTTACTGCATGAGTGTCATAGTGCACGAGGATCCTGGTGCACGAGTGTTGTGATAGACAGACATCCTGGTGCACGGGCATCCCAAACCATCAGGATCGTGGTGCACAAGGATCCCGGTGCACAAGTGTCTTGGTGCACGAGTGTCATATTGCACGAGGATCCTGGTGCACAAGTGTCTTGATGCATGAGTGTTGTGGTGCACGAGGATCCTGGTGCACGGGCATCCCAAACCACCAGGATCCTGGTGCACAAGTGTCGTGGTACATGAGGATCCTGGTGCACGAGTGTCGTGGCACACGAGGATCCTGGTGCACAAGTGTCTTGATGCATGAGTGTTGTGGTGCACGAGGATCCTGGTGCACGGGCATCCCAAACCACCAGGATCCTGTTGCACGAGTGTCGTGGCACATGAGGATCCTGGTGCACAAGTGTCTTGGTGCACGAGTGTCGTGGTGCACGAGGATCCCGTTGCACGAGGATCCCCTGGTGGTTTTTTTCCCCAGACCGAGCTCCCCCCTGGGGTGGGGACGCCCCCACCCCCCTCGTTCTTTCTCCCTTCCCCTTCCCTTTTTGGGCTAAAACCCCCTGGTTTTGGGTCTTTTCCAGGACTCCAGGAGACCAAGCCCTTTCCCGTTGTCCCGGCCCCGGCTCCGGGGGGGAAAGGCCCCGCGGCCCCGGGAAAGGGGGGGGCTCCGCTGGCCCTGCCCCCCCCCGCCCAGGTGAGACACCCCCCAATTTCCCCTTTTCTCCCCAAATTTCCCGTTTCCAGACTAAAAAAAATCCCATAAAACCCAAAAAGGGTGGTTTTTCCCCCATTTTTAAAGCGCTGGGGCTTTAACGCGGCTAAAAATGACCCAAAATGACCCCATTTCCGTCCATATCGATGGGGGTTTTCACTGCTATTAATGGAATTAGTAATAAATAGTAATTTAATTGATAAGAAATCGTAATTGGATGATAAATATTTATTACATTGATAAGGATCATTAAATGAGTGATAAATAATAGTGAAATTCATAAGAAATAATAATGAAATGAAGAATAAATATTAATGAAATTGATATGAAGTAGCAATTAAACGAATAATCAATATTAGTCTAATAATAAATATTATTTAAAGGAATGATAAATCGTAATAAATCGTGATTGATAAGAAATAATAATGAAACGAATGCTAAATATTAATTAAATTGGTAAGAAATCATAATTGGATGAACAATCCGTTTTAATTTAATAATAAGTATTAGTTAAGTATTTAATAATAAGTATTAGTTAAAGGAATAAATATTAATACATAAATATTAATAAATATTAAATACAAATATTAGTTTAGAATTAAAGTTTAATAATAAATATTAGTTATCATAATAAATAATAATTGATAAGATTTCCTAATTAAAGTAATGATAAATATTAATTAAATTGATAAGAAATAATAATTTAATAATCAGTATTGATTTAATAATCAATATTAAAGGGATAATGAATCGTAATCAATCGTAATAAATCATAATTTATAAGGAATAATAATTGAATTACAAATAGTGAATAAATTGATAAGGAATAATAATTAAATGGAAAATCAATATTGATCTAATAATGGATATTAAAGGAATAATAGGTGATAATAAGTCATAATGAATTATAATTGATAAGAAATAATAATTAAATGAAGAATCAATATTGTTAATAGTATTTAACTGACTAATCAATATTTATTTAATAATAAAAATTAGTTATAGGACTAATAGATCAGAATAAATAATAATAAATAATAATAAATAATAATAAATAATAATAAATAATAATAATAAATCACAATAAATCATAATAAAAATAATAAATAATAATAATAAACCACAATAAATCATAATAAATCATTTAAAAATGACCTAAAAAGGCTCTTTTCTCCCTCCTCCCTCAAATATCTTTAATTTGCCGATTCCTCCCATAACTCTTTATTTTTCGGCCCCAAACCCTTCCGTTGGGGCCCTGTTTTGGGGTTGGTTTCCTCGGGATCGGGTAAAACCCCTCCCAATGTGCAATGAACCCAATTTTGGGGTGTTTAATTG